AAGCGTTTCGTCCAGCTGTCGTGCCGTGCCCCGCCTCAGAAAAAGGCTTCACAAGTCAAAAAGCCAGCACGAGCTGTTAAAATAGATCGAGGGAGAACACCTTTATTTCAGCGGTGGTTTCTTACTCGTAAGCAGGTCTCTGCATCTCTCCCCAGGTCCGAGGAACAGCTCCTTCGTCACTGGTGGACCGGAAAGGTGGTCACCGCTCGGGAAGAAAGGGATCGACTTCAGCCGCCGGCTTGGAGCGCTGCGCTGACGGCCAGAGCGCCCGTTGTACCCTTCCGGGGGTTCCAGGTCTGCTGGGAAGAAGCCACGACCGCTCGCCTGCTCCGTGGAAGGGCCTGTAGAGGAGAGAGCTGCCCTCAGTCCGTGCAAGTCCTTTCCCAAGTTTCCCCTCCCCAGCTGCTGCCAGCGCGCAGCTCCCGATCATCCGGCAGGAACGGCTGAGAAACAGAAATTTTTAGGCCAGGACATTTTGCAGATTCACGTTGGTTGGGCCAAAGAGCTGCTTAAAACCATCCGGGTTCATTTTTATGCGACCGTTTCTCAAGCAAAGCATTTGACTCCAGACAGCCCCATCTGACGAGCTGTGAGAAGGACACGTACCTGCACCTCCCAAAGCCCTGTTCAGGTACCTCTGTCCCGCCTCACGGCTGTGGAGTGAATCCACTATCCAGCCCTCCCTGCGTGCGCGACCGCAGTGCTGCAAGAGAGGAAGAACAAAAAAAATCCAGGACTGAAACAGGCTTCAGCGACGGGGCCAGGAGAAACCGTGCGGGAGCTGGAGGACTAGGGCGTGTTTCGGAGGAGAGGCACATTTCTGTGCCCGTTGCAAACTCTTGCATTCTCAAGCGATTTGAAACGGGGCTGTACAGAGAAACAAGCCTGAAAGCTGGTTCTCCATTACTCGAGTGCCCAGATCCTGCTTCCCTACAGGCATCTCCGGCAGCAGGAAAGGAGGCAGCGAAGAAGATGTGGAGACAGGAATCGTTACATCTTGCAGGACAGCGACACTTTATAATCCCTGGTGCATCCGCTCCAGCTTCTCTTTTCCTATCGCAAACAAGAGCGTTTTATTTTCTGTCACAGACTTCTAACGTGTTACGGAGTCGGAGGCACCAGCCGATGAAGGTGAGAGACATCAAAGACACGTTTCCACATAAATGGAAACATTTCAGCATCAGAGACGTTCAGCTCAACCCCTGCCTGGCAAGAGAACTGGTTGGTTTGGTTTTTAAACATGAGGTTACGCGTCACAGCTACAGAAGAACGCAGCCGATCTTTACCTTAATGAGAGAGAGGAAGAATTCAATTAGAAGCCTCTTCTGCATCAGCGGGATCGTGCGACTGCCCGGCTAATGACAGTCCACGGTCCGTTATTAGAGCCGCGACAGTTACAAACAAAGCCCCAAGCAAGTTTAAAGAAAGCTTCCCTACGCACAGCCTCCTCCGGACAGAATAAAGCAACACCGTCGGGACCCCCGCCTCGGGGGCGCCGGGAGCCCCCGCACCCCCTCACCGGAGGGCGCCCGTGTCCTCAGCGCATCGCCGCGTCTCCTCACGCGCTCGCTCCTCCATCTTCTTGCGCTCGGCCTTCCGCACCTTCTCCGCATTGCGCAGGGTCTGGGGGTGCCAGCTCTTCTTCAGGTTCTGCGGGAGGGCGGAGACCGGACCGGCACCGTTAACAAAGGGCCGCCGAGCCCCGCCCGCGGGTCCCCACCGGCCTGCCCTCGCCGGCCGCCACCGGGAAGG